AAGCCATGAGCACTTAAAAGAATTTTTCGGAACCCGCTTCTTCAGCATGAAAAAAACTAACCTCCACACGGTTCAGAAGCAAAGAAATAAGCTGGCGAATCATAAAAGAGATAACCACATGGAAAGTAAAATGTAATTAATAACATATAATGCTACCTCAAAGCTTTACAGAAAATTGGGATCTACAGTGCGAAATCTTGTGTGAAAGGTCACCATTCCACCACACAAATATCGGTTTCTTAACTGGACAAAAAACAGATTCTCATTGTAATGAATGAATTGGCAATGAGGCCTTGAATTAAGAACTATTTTATAAAGTTTAAAAAGACGCAAGATCATTCCGCCTATATTTCTGACTAGGAATAAGCCTATGGGCAAAGCGGATTAATAAAATATTAAAGTTTTGAGACCACCTTGAAGCGAAGATATTGGACCTCGTCCTCGTCGATTAGTCAACACATCGAAAACGTAGACGATACCATCCTGACTTCCTGTGACTGCACAGGCCCCGGCACGGAAGGAGATGAGCGGAGCATAACAAGAGTGAATTAATCGTAATCCAGGGCCTGGGTCGTGAGCTATAGAGAAACGTCGCTGCAGGACCAGTCGAAGAGGCAGGGCACTAGAAAACTGCCTATCGGTGCTAGTGCTGGGATCGGCAATGCGGAAGAGCAGAAGACCAAGTCCAGCCACGTTTGCCAAAAGGTGGGGATCACGAGCATCGTGAGAAAGCCAGGCGCTGGCGGTTAGGGAAGTAACACTGGGCAAACCGCCACATCTCTTGCCACCAGTGTCATCTCTACCAGAAGAACCAAAATGCAAGTAAGGAAGCGAAGTAAACTGTGCAACTTCAAGCTCAGAAGGTCGACGCCTTCTAGCTATTTTGGCCCACAGGCTGCCGGTCTCGTTCCTTCCATTCGGCTGGACCCGTGGACCCACATTATGGCTGACAAGACCAACGGCGGGAAGAGCATATAGATTTGAAGGAAAATGTAAAAGAACAAATTAAAAAAAGCGTTGATCCACCAATCTCAGAGTTTGTTATTCAAGCCAAGTCGATAAAATTATGAAATTAATTCAAGTATAAAAAAACAGACAATAGTTTTAGATAGAGAAAAAACATACATCAAAGATTAGCCAGCTTCAATAAAATGGGCCAGTCGATCGCGATAGTGAATTTGTGTCATAAAAGGTAAGAAGACCAATAAGGTATACTTTAAGCTTGATTGCCGTTTCAGTTAGCTGCATTGATTTGATATGACTACGTTTTCGCAAATTGGTCGGGGGTATAACATACTCAGTCCTGCATCCTCGGTCATCCTTGCTCCGACATTCTAGTTAGCGTCTTCAGTAAGAGAAGCCATCCTTGGCAGTGATTTATAACTCCTTAAAGTGATAAGCGAAAGCTATCCTCGAGTAATTTTTTCTGTCTCTCCTCCCTCCCTCCCTCCTTTTAGCTCAGGCTCTTAGCGATGTAGCTTTCCTCAATCCCATTTCATATAGTCGAATTTTCTACGTTAGCTTTGATATCTTCCGAATGTGTTCGGTCGTTTAGATGGGTTTAGTCATGCGTAATTATCGTAATTTCGAGTGCAAGAGCTCCTGATTGCAATAGTTTTGCATTCAGAAAGTCAGTTCTCCAGTTATATCGGCTGTTTCGTGGCGTCTTATCTAGTTGGCTAACCCTAATCCCTGGATTATACGAAAAATAACTGAGTTTCAATAAATACCCTGAAATAACAATATTATGGAGACTATAATTTCGTAGGAAAATGCCTGATTGAAGAGGGGGGAATTAATTAAGTCTTTGGAGAGCAAATCTCGTGGGTTTTCACAAGCTTAAAAAGCTGACTAAAAAGGCGGATTAAATATGGAATTTGTAGGAAGAACATGATTAAAACATCCGTTGATAGAGGTCTGTAGAAAAACAGCTCTCTGGGATCAAATAAGGATGAAGACAATGTAGTGAATTTACATTCGTCCTACTCTATTACAAGTCCAAGATGGTGCTTGAAATAGCGCCTCTAACTGACGATGCCGACAAAAAATCTGGAAATGTACAAAATCAGCGATCCAATACTGTTAATTATAATGACAACTATGAGAGAGGGCATTGGACTAAGTAAGTTCAACAGCCTTCCTGTCGCACCCAAAATGTTGGGAAAACGATGGTATACCAAGCTAAAAAACGATAACCAAATGTTAATGCAGAGGTTCCTATTCCTCGGCCAATAGTTTAAGTTCATTATATTTGCGATAAAAGTCTGGCACGGCAAATTTTGTTTGTTTCTTTACATCAAGACGGATCACTAAATCGTAGCCTTAGTATGCTAGTATGACAATTGGGGAGAGTAATGATGAATAAAGAATATGTGTGTGGCAGGCAAGGGGGGAGTGAAATAAAATGTTTTTGAGTTGTTTGACCTTGTTTTCGCAACATGGTTATATTGGTAGGAAAACTTAGAGGAACGCATCTAGTCCGGAATCCATTGTCTGCATGATCATTTCCAAAGTTGAACCGTGGACGTGGTACATTCCCAAACATTTCGCCGTCATCGTAGTTTTAGAGTTAGTTCACAGGAAGGTAGGCATATCCATTTTGCGAGCCTTTCTTCATCTTACCCTTCTTTCATAATCCTCGTCCTGCCATCAGTTTTTCACTACTCCTATGTTTCTTGGTATTACTTCACTTGGGTAACCGTAGTGTGGTGCCCACTCTGGGGTATCCGTTACTAAGGCAAATCCGTGTCAGTTCGTCTAACTCCTCGTCCCAGAACTCATTGTCCGTTAATCGTAAGCTTCTGATGATCAAATTCCTCAGTATTCCGATCTGATGAGAATGAAAATCAAGGATTATTCCCACATATGAATTATTTCTGTATAGTCTCCTCATGAGTGTCCTCTTGGAGTGAATGATTTTAATAACCAGGAAGGGTAGC